TTAAGAAGTGGACTCATTTTAAGGAGTGTACTCATTTTAAAGAGTGTACTCATTGGATCCTCCCCCTATATATATATATATTATGTATCCGTGTTAATGTATATTAAGAATATTCACTTGTGAGTTATCTCATATCGTTTATCTCATATGGTTTATATAAGAAAAATAAGTCTAATTTATAAGTCTAATGTGCTACTCCTCCTTGCAACAATTGATTTTGAGATGGAACCTCACTTGAGTTTCATATGGGCTTTCACTGTTTATAGTGCGCTTCACATCCGTTGGGCCGCACCAGTTTTCCCCCAGTTTCTTTCATTGTATCAGAGCTGGTTCTATTGAGACTGGACGATGACGTACCTGTTTTTCTCCCGTTTCTTACATGATATAAGAGCTTTTCCCCCACATACCCGTTTATGTGAGTTGTCACATATCGTTTATTTAATGAAAATGGCCTAATTGGTTTTGAGATGGTTTGAGATGGGAACCTCACTTGGGCTTCATCTTGCACGGACATCGTTTATATAGGAAAAATGGGTCTAATTGATTTTGAGATGATTTGAGATGGAACCTCACTTGAACTTCATCTGGCTGATGCGCTTCATGTACTGGACCGCACTCGTTTTTCCCTTGTTTCTTACAATGTAATATAACTTCGTATGATTGTATAATTTCATTTTATCATTATCAATCAAAATTACGGTAAGTGTATTTCAAAGGGCATCTTATGGTTCCATGGAAGAATGAGTTGTCAACCCTAAGAAATTAATGATTAAAATTAAGAAAAAGGTTTACCAACTTTTGTTCAAGTTGGCCAGCCAAAGGAAGTGGGGCTTTGCTTTTGGTTGAAAATGTTCAAAAAAAGTAGCAAAATCTTGAATTAATACAGACCGGCTGACTAGACACTTGTCGACCACTGGTTTTACTTCTATTTTGTAGATTTAATATTTAAATTACAGAACTTCTATAAAACCAACTGTCTGGTTTTCTTAGGGGTGGGCGCAAATACCGAATTTCCCGGTACCGAACCGGACCGAAATGGTGCCGTTCCGAAAAATAAGGTTCCGATTTGGTTTTCTTTATTTTTGTACCGTTCCCGGTACCGAACCGTTTTAAACAATGTCGGTATCGGTTTCAAATATTTTTGTCACGAACCGTCCCGTTTGTCCCGTTTGATTTTTTTATATAAAATAATATATTATATATATATATATTATAATTTATAATATACTGTTTCTGTATTTACTATTTATGTATGTATGTCACATTGTGAAGGTCCATGGTAATGGCCCAAATAAAATTTTATTAGGCCCAACTAATTTTGGCCCATAAGAGAATGAGAGTTCTGAGTTCAGAGTAGTCAAACGACGGCCACGGTCCCTTTCTCTTCACTTTCTCAGTTTCTCATTCTCATTTCTCAAAATCAAATCCCCGTCGCCATTTTCGATTTTTTTCACTTTATGTTCCCAAATTCAGAAACAATTCTCAATTTGTTTGTTCACCGTAAACAATTTCAATTCAGAATCCAAATCCCATTCACCTTCAGTGCTAAAATCCCAATTCCCAAATCTCAATAACAAAATCAAGAACCCTAATTCAGAAATACCATGGAGAAAAGTATATCCTACAGCACATCTTCAAAAATTCCTGAGGTTGGGAGTGAGAGACATCCGCTGACAGTTGAAACTCCACCGACACCGAGCAGTGCTTCCAATCCTGTGCCTGTGGTGGTGCCGCCGCCTACAAATATGCCAACCGGGCCGAATATTCTATATGAGCGTCCACCAGGTATGAAAGCTAGGGTTTATAGGTCAGCAGTCTGGGAACATTTTACTACTTATTGGGTTAGAAATGTTAGGAAAGTTAAGAATCCTGAGTCGGGGTTGATTGAGGATGTCTGTGAATATAAAGAGAGAGCTAAATGCAAATATTGTCCAAAGGGGCAGGGAGATTTTGCTGCAGAGAGTGGACCAAATGGGACTGGGGGGCCTAACAAGCATATACCTAAGAAGTGTAAGTGGTATCCTGCTAATGTTGATTTAAGCAAGCAAAAAGTTATAACATGGGAAAAGGGTGATTATAACCAACTTGCTAGTAGAGGCTTTGATCAAAAACAAACAATGGAGGCTTGTGTAGAAATGGTAGTTCTTGATGAATTGCCATTTATTTTTGTGGAAAAAAAGGGGTTTAGGAAGTTTTGTGCCACAGGAATGCCCTTGTTTAAGGCCCCATCTAGGAGAACTCGTGTGAGGACCTTTTTAGATATGTATGAATTAAAAAAGAAGCAGCTAAAAAAAGATCTTGTTGCCCAAAGAGTTTGTTTAACCACTGATACTTGGACTAGTGTCCAAAACAACAACTACATGGTTTTAACTGCCCATTTTATTGATTCAAATTGGCAAATGCATAAAAGGGTGTTAAATTTCTGTGTTATTACCAACCATCAGGGGATTACTATAGCTAATTTAATAGAACAATGTCTGGCTGATTGGGGAATTGATAAAGTGTTGACTGTTACAGTGGATAATGCTTCTGCAAATAAGTTGGCTTTAGATCATTTGGTTGAAAAGCTGAATAATTGTATGAATTCACCTTTGATTTTGGAGGGAAAACATATGCACATGAGATGTGTGGCACACATTACAAACTTAGTTGTTGGCAGTGGTCTTAAGAAGCTGAACTCTACTATTTTAGCAATCAGAAATGCTGTGAAGTTTGTGAGAAGCTCACCATCTAGGTTGGCCCTTTTTAAGAAGGCTGTGGTTAGGGAAAAAATTGATTATAAGGGGTTAGTGTGCTTAGATGTGCCAACAAGATGGAATTCAACATATTTGATGTTGGATTCTACCTTGAAACTGAAAAGGGCATTCAAAAGAATGGAACAAGATGTGGACAGCCCATATCTAGCTTATTTTAATGAGCCTGATGAGGAGTTTGATGATGATGGAAATGCAATTGTTCAGAGAAGGGACAAAAAAAAGATTGGGCCACCAAGGGATTCTGACTGGGATGCATGTGAACAATTTATCAGCTTTCTTGCTGTTTTTTATGAGGTCACACTGAGGGTAAGTGCCTCTAATCACCCAACCATTCACACTACCTTCCATGACATTGTTCACATGGAAGAAGTTTTGATCAGCAGATCAATATGTGCCCCCCAAACTGCAACACAAAAATTAATGGCTGACATTGCATCACTCATGAAAACCAAGTATAACAAATACTTTGGTCAATTGAAGGATCTGAACCCTTTTATTTTTGTGGGAATTGTAATGGATCCAAGGTTTAAGATGAAGCATGTCACTAAATTGTTGTCTGTTGAGTTGATGTGGAGTGATTATGAGGTTGAGAAGAAGGAAAAAGAGATCAAAGCACTATTGTTTGAGTTGTTTGAAGAGTATAGTGCAAAGAATGATAAAAGTTTGAAAAAAAGAAGTGTAGAACCTGTGACAAGCAGCAGCAACAGCAGCACCTTGAAGAGGCATAAAATTAAGGAAAATGATTCTCATATTGGGAGTAGGGTCAATTTAGCCACCAGCAACTTGAAGTATGTTGTTGATTGGACAAAGCATGTCACAGAAACTGATGAGGCAACACTGGAACATGAGATTGATACATATTTGAAAGATCCTCTGTTAGCCATTAAGGATCAAAAGGGTGATGACATTGCTGCTGAGGAGTTGATAGAGAAATACAATTCCTTTGATATATTGCAATGGTGGAAAAATGCAGACTCCCGGTATCCAGTTCTCTCTTCACTTGCCAAAGATATTTTTGCTATTCAAGTATCAACAGTGGCTTCTGAGAGTGCTTTTAGCACAGGAGGGAGAGTCATTGATTCATTTAGGAGTTCATTAACTCCTAAATCTGTGGAGGCTTTGATTTGCATGTAAAATTGGCTTAGAGGAGATGACATAGTCATGGACTTTGAGAATGAACCTTCAGCTCAGGAGTTAGAATTCTATGAAAATATTGAGACAGGTACTATTTAGTAAATTATTTTACTTTCAGTCCTTTGAATTTATTTCTATTTTGTTGATTATTGCTCTTATAAACTATAAAGTAATAAATTATAATTCCTTTGTTTTACATTTTGTAGAGTTGTATAAGTCAAAAATGACTGCTGGGGACAGTGGGGAGAAGCATATTGATGTGGAAAGCTTAGAAGATGAAGATGATGGTTTTGAGGATGGTAGTTATTATGATTGAGTTTAGGGTGTTTTCAGTTTTGGAGTTTGAAATCTGTTTGTGATAAACTTGTAATGTAACCAGTATTCATTCAGTACTCTATGTTTTTATGTTAGATTGGTGACTTGTTGAATATCTGACTTGTTGATAAACTTGTTGAATTGGTGATAAACTTGTAGTGTAATCAGTATTCAGTGATCTGTGATCTACTGATCTTGATATCTTGTTTCTGTAATTCTGTTATTTGAAATATCTGACTTGTGGATGTGGTGTAATCTTGTTCTAGTTTGATAAAATTGTAATGTACTAATGTAATGTAATGTAATCTTGTTTCTGTTTGTGGTAGTGGTTTTTGATTTCTGTTGAATTCTAATTTCTAAATGATATGTGATCTGTTATCATTGAGGATGGTTTCTGTTGCATAATATCACTTAGGACCTTAGGTGACAGGTGTGAAACTGTGAATCACAGGTGACAGGAACCACAAGGAAAAAAATTGTTTTGTTTGCTAAATATTTGTCCCGTTTTTATCCCGGTCCCGAACCGTTTTGTCCCGGTCCCAAATGATACCGATCTGTTAGGGACAGTGTCTCGTCCCGGACCGGTCCCGGACCGGTTCATAAAAGCGG